GCAGCTGCAGCAGTGGCCTTTTCTTAGGGGTGCGCCATGGTGGCGTTCTCTCCGGTCGTTTCAGCTGCTCTGAGCCAAGACGCTTGTGATATTCTGATTGCGCTGGGCATTGATAGCGATTCCGATTTATCTGAGTACTTTGCGGACGAGTTTTCTTTGCTGGAAGTTTCTTCAGATGATCGGTTGCTTCGTGAAATCACTAATGCCTGGCGGGTGGCGAGAGTGCAGATGAGAGTACAAGAACAGCTGCATCGAGCACCGGCCCTTCCCAGCAAGCGGCCAGCTGATGATTTGGGCCAACAGCCTTTACTCCTGGGGGCCAGACCCAAAGCGCGGCTGTTCCCTCCTGCTGCTCTTAGATCCCGTAGCTACACTCAGGCCGTTTCTCAGGCGGCGACACCCAGTCTTCCGCCGAGGCATGATCGAAGGGCCGGGTGCTTACAGGCCATGTTTCAGATCGCTATTTTGTGTGGTTCTGCTAATCTGGTCTTTGGCGCCGATTTGGTGCTCCAGCAAGATGAGGCACGCCCTTTGTTTGATCGTAAGTTTCAATCCCTCAGCGATGATCGCCTCGTCAGCCATAGAGCGGCCATGCGCCGTTGGGTTGATTGGCACAGCAAGCATGCTCCGATTGATCAACCGTTCTGGAGGCCTACGGCTGTGACGCTGTCTTCATTCTTTCAGGACATTAGTCGTAACGGCCCTACAGCGGCCTCTGGGGCATTTGGAGCTCTGATGTGGTGGCGCCGCCATGTTGGGGTGCCCTTTCCTCTTCAGGATGCCTTAGTTAGTCATTGGTCTGCGCCGACCCAGGGGCACACGGCTCAGCAGCGCGAGCCTCTTTCGTTACGGATTGTGCTTGCACTGTGTAAGGCAGGTGCATCAGCTCAAGGAGCCATTCGTTCCTTTGTGTGCCATGCATTACTTGCACTCGTGGCGTGTTTGCGTTTTCGCCATCTTCAGCGATCACATAATCTCAGGCTTTGCTATAGTTTTCTTCGGGCCACCTGTCGCAAGGGCAAGCGGAGGGTTCAACAGACTCAGCCTCCTTTTGATTGGGCTTGTCCGGCCATCCTCCCCTTTGGCTTGCCTCTCGCGGAACAGGTCATGCTGGACAATTCTGAGGTGAAGCGTGCCTTGGGTCGTGATCCAGATTTTCTTGTTCATGATTACGAGGTCCCCAAGGGTGAGCCTTTGACGGCTTCATCAAAGCGCCGCTTGGTAGCCATGTCACTGCCTCGCTTTACAGACTTCTTGCGTGCTGTGCTGCTGGGGCTTGGTATTCCGGAGGCCGATGTGAAAGCCTTCTCATCTTACAGCCTCCGCAGGTTTTTGCCTACAGCGGCAGATATCTTACGACTTCCCGAGGAGCATCGCTTGGCAATCGGCAACTGGCAGGAGCGGCCCACGGCTACAGCAGATCGAACCCAGCCTCGTGCAGTACATCACATGGCCCAGCATTATGCCAATGACAAGGTGTTTACTTCTGCTCGTATCAAGCAAGAGGTTCTGGTGTCAATTTTCATGGTGGCCAGGCGAGTCTCTTTCAAGCTTTCGTGGGATGACTTTCGACAGAATTTGCCTGCCACTGATGATGTTACTCAGGAGCTTCGCAAATCCGAGTGGCATCCGGCCGCGGCTTCGATTCAGCAGGGCGAGTTTCGGCCTGGTTCGGAGTCTTCTGACTCTGCCAGCAGCTCGTCGGGAGAGTCTAGCAGCAGTGAGGATCCTGATGCTGTAGCGTGGTTTCAGCAGTCATTGAAAGGAGCGTGTCACCTGGTTCAAGGCATGGCGGGTATCCGCTTCGTGCCTTTCTGCCAGGACTTGCCTTTTGATGCGCCTCATTGCGCTCGAGGCTCTGGCATCGAGCCAGGCATTAAGATGTGCCGCAAATGTCTGTGCCGAGCCCCTAAGTCGCTGCAGGATAGGTGCCGGGGCGGATGAAAATTCTGCTGTGGCGTCTTAGTCGTCGCTTCGAGCTGGTGTCTG